AATCGGAGTGGTCTCGGATTTCCATCTAAGACAATGGCTCAAAGTTTACCCCCTTGTCATGGCATATCATGGTATTTTAAACATAGACCCCTGTTTTTCATGGTATCATATATTAAACGATCGCTCAAATATTTCCCCCCCCTTACTCCCTTACTGGAGATGAAAATTTTCACCCACACAGGCACAGTATCGGAGGAGGGGCATCTTATGTTAAAAGGACCTTATCCTCTGGTTAGAAATGATATGCGAACTGGAGCCTCTCAATCTTATACCTAAGTGAATTTCAGTCTACCTATCTATCGCTCCGACTATGCACCGTTTTCTCTCCTCTCATCACCCATCCTTTATCATCGTTTCCTTCAGCATGCTCCGCAGTTTCTCCATTGTGGGTGGAAAGTCGTTCTTGCAAGCCCCCCAACTGAGCTTTATGCTGCCGTCTCCTTCAAGCGTGGAGACCACTCCCGTGATGCGAGACAGTTGTTCGGAGATGATTGGCGCTGGGGATATGTGGAGGTTAAGGCTTTAAATGTCCGGGGGGCAGCAAGGGTGGGAGGGCATTTGTAGTAGATTCCCAGCTTATTATTTTTATCGCTAGGGTCTACAGTTAAGAGTGGGGATGCGGTGATCTCCCAGGATCCGCGGGTTTGTGGTAGGGGTAACAGCATCTGTGTCTGGTTTGTGTTAGTGGTGTAGTGTTCCTACTGCTTCTCCTTCCAGGATTTCAGGGGGAGATCGTTCGGGGGGTAAGTATGCCACTTGGGCGGAAAATCCATTCGCGGCAACCTTTATGGAATATAACGGACTGAAGACCGCTTCCCCGGCGACGATCCAAGTGACAGTATGAATATTCAGACCCGTGCCGCCAAAGTAAGCCGTTTCGTCGATAAACGACTACTTCAATCTATCGGTGGTCCGGGGGCTCTTGGATGGAAGGATTGAATGCTCCGGAGAAGCCAGAATACTGGCTAACAGCTCATGTTTCTAGTCCGACCCCACCAGGGTGTTTTCTCCGAGTACGTGGTGGGGGAGGGGGTAGTGGCTGGGGGATTTCCTAGTAAGCCGTCTTCAGCAACAGATTGAGCATCACTCACGATGGTTGGAGCTTGAATCCCCTTCCACGTGGAGCTCGGAGCAGTATTCGGGATCGGGTATCAATGGCGTGAACCTGTGGGGCGGGAGATTGTAAACATGCCCAGGGGAGGTTAGGGATTGCGTCTGGTAATTTTATTCCGCATGGGATGGGTAGACGCTCACGTACAAACTCACAAGCCATGGTGGAACTTCTGGGTCATTTTTTTCCCTCATCGCCATCTCATTCATGATTGTGGCGGATATGCGGTTGGGTATTGGGACTGCTGGTGCGGTTAGTGTTTGTCATGAGGGGATGTCAAGAGTGATTCTTTGTGATTGAGATTAGAGGTGCTTATATGTTGGGTGGGCTTGGTTGATGATCTCCAATATGGTACTTACCCTTTTGCGGGATTGGGTGGCGTGGCGAGGAGTATTTGGAGTTCAATAATTGGAAGGGTTTTATGGGAGATACTTCGCCCCGCCTCCATGGCGGCATGGGTCACCGGTCACAATTTATTACCAACATCTTTCGAGAGAATACCAGTTTTTGAGACGAATAAAAGTGCTATAGCGTGAATACCACACCCCCACGGCGTCATTTACTCTCATACTATATTGGGGAACCTATATGGCTAGAACTCATGGTTGGGTTTAAATCGAGGTCGTCGAAATCACACTTTTGTTTCCACTTTTTTTTTTTTCCGCCGCCCCACCAATTACAGATTCCACACTTTGTGATAATTCCGGTGTGGGATGCTATTGTACCGCGACAGCTCTATTTCCTTAAATCCCCATTCCACGGCCTGCCATTAATGATAATCCATTGTGAGTCTGTGCGCCAGCAGGAGCACAGGATGCCGATCTGCCCAAAGGTCCTGGACCAGTTCCTGATTATCCGGACCACCCCGCCTTCTTTCAACCTTACTCTCACAACGCCAGTACCTAAACCAAGGAAAGACGGAACTTTCAAAAGGAAAGAAATGGGTGTGGAACTATCTACCCGTGTCGAAAAGAGATGTACAGGGCAGGAAAAAGGTGGAATAGCATTTTCCAGTGTGTTTAAAATGGTCTGAAAAGGTTTAGGGGGACTTGGCACATTGAAATCAGTAGATATATTGCTAGAAAGAAGATGGTATTAAAAAAATTAGGGTTCGATCATGGAATCTCACTCATTTCCTGGAGCCGAAAAAAGGCTGATGCCGGAGGTGCCCATAGAATGCGCAGAATTGAAGTGAGTGGAAGGAAGCGGCGAGCGAGAGTGCCGAACTAAAGTGAACCTCCACCCTTTTCCGAAGTCTTATGTTGGTAATATAAGCCATAGTTCTACAGAGCGACTAATCGTCATCTCGGTTCTTTTCATTGGGCGTTTCATCACTTTGCCACCCCGCCGTTCGTCACAGTTTCACTCAGTCATTTTTGTTGTTTGGAACAGCAAACGAGCTCTTTCGAGAATCAGACTAACCTCAATACTGCCACGTAGGAACCAGAGGTTTAGGTAAAAACAGTGGGTAGCGCGAGGGCGGACAATTATCTTAAAACATGAGTGCCCGGGGTAAAGGGGGGGGGGATATTTGGATTTAGAGTTCTATCTTTGGATTCTTATCTTGTTGCGGTACGATAGTTGGTCAGTTATTCCTTTTAAGTAATATATATGATATGCTTTGCCTTTTCGTATTAGACCTTATCCATTTGCAGAGCGCTACTATGATCCCATGGGGGATGTTGTATTTGCCATCGTGGATGGTCATTCGGGTGAAGTGGCCTATCACACCAGGGTCTGTTTTTTTTTTACTTGCACAGCCAGACTTGGAACCAGATAAATTCTACATCAAAATATCATGCTCCTCTATTGCGCGGTTATAATGCGGGTGTGTAGCCAATGGTGTCCTTTCATGGTCCAGTATTGCCTATACCCCATAATTGAATCTTGCGCAACTAAAGCCCTATTTGCTTTTCTTTTCCAATAGCCAACCCAACACACTAGCTTACTGGCATGGTCCGTGGTATCTGCCGGTATGATACCGATAACACCAAATCCACCTTGCAGGGGGAAAAGTGCTTCCCTCCATCCTTTCCACTTTCCGCTTTTCCCCCTCGTATTTCCGTCTGTTTACCCTGCCTTCTATATCACACAACCCGCCACCAGCCCTCCTTAGAGACAACCATCAAGAGTTTAGGCTCGTGATACATTGCACTCTTGCTGAAACAAGGGGAGTAATGGGAAAGAAACAGTAAATGTAATTAAATCTACTTGGAAAAAAGAAAAAAGCGACAACTAGCCCGAAGAGGGGGGGAAAATTGGTTTCGCCCGGGCTTGAACCGGGGACACTTGTTTAGTAGACTGGAGTAGTTCTAGTTTTGCAAGGGAAAATGGGCGCCTGGAGCCATGCAAAGCATGATAGGTAGGGAGGTTGGAGAGTATCTTGCTTATGCAGCCCACATGAAATATATCTAAGTTGAGGTTAATAGGGAGAAGTCGATTGTTTGACTGCCAATGTGGTATCCAACCAATGACTGACTCATCACCTCCCTATTCGGGTTTAGGGGAAGAATTTGATCAACCTTTTGGGCGGTTTCGTGGTGTATGATATAACCAACTACACCACGAAACCAGATGACACACATCATACATTCAAGTGTACTCCCACCTCAAATCTCAATGAGAATGTGAGAAGCCGGACACCAATACCCAACAGATTGGCCGCTTTTGTTCCAAAGTTTCAGTCGCGGTAGGAGATTTCCAGACCACCAAAGGAGACGTGAGCAAGGTCAATAATCGCGTCCGGATCGCTGGGGAACACGGGGACTGTAGTTCCAAACAAGCGGAAGCGGGCAATTCCTAACGGCGTGTTAGTACTCCCGGCGTTTGTTGCGGCGGAATCTGTTATGAGCTTACATCCATCGGGAAACATATTGAGACGGACATGAGAATAGGCTTTGGCAGTGGGAGAGCTTAGCTTCCAGATGTGTCTCCGGGAAGGGCCACACTCCCGCACTGTGAGGATTCCCTCCCACTAGAAGGGTTTGGGTGTCAGACCGAACTAATTTAGTGCAGTAATTCACTCACTGGTGTATTTGCGTCTAGGTGGCTGCCGTCAAGGAAGGTGCCCTCGGCGGTGACTGCTGGACCGTGGTTTTCGTTGAAGAAAGCTGTGTCAATCTCGAAACCGTAGACTTTACCACTGGGGACTTCTAGCTATTAAAAGTTAATACGTAATAGTCTTTTGTTATAAAAATTTCTTCATAACGGTACCCACTTTAATGATGACCCAATCGGCAAGGGCTCTGTTGTGCCCTCTGATCTCCCATCTTGAATTAACAGAATATTAGCATTACAGAATCCCTAGGGGGGAGGGGAACACACCCGTCATACCAAGCACCCGTAGGACCCAAAAATCTCTTGAGCTTTAGATTCGTCAATGCGGTGAACTGTGTTGGAAGACATCGATGTCTGTTTCTTGGAAAATGGTTGTTGTAATGGGAGTGTTGTGAGGAGAGCGGGGGGACAGAGACGTATGCAGGTTGTAGGAGAGAGGGACCTCATGGCAAGCGCTCAGGCAGGCCGCCTCGCCGGTGCAAAGGTGGACTAACTGCTTTGCCAACTCGTCGGAGGGTGAGTGGTGGGAGGTCCGAGCTTGGGAAAATGGAGCGTACTCAATGGATTTCATTTTTTTTTCTTTCTCTTCCTTTTCTCCACGTCAGGTATCATCGTCATCATAATAGGGGGTAACTAGTCACAGGATCTCACTCGTGTGAGTAACTTATGCCATTACCTGTATTAATGACCAGTCTCGCTCTCTTACTGTTCCTTCTGGTTAAAGAGTTCCCCAGCCGTATAAATTGACAAGCAGCCGATTGGAGCTAATGAAATAGATGACATTGTGAATGAAGAAGGAGGAAAAAGAGTGTTAGAAGTGAGAAAAAGAGAATGATTTCGGCCGGGTTCAAACCGGAGACCACTAGTGTGTTAGACTGATGTAATAACCAACTACGCCACGAAGGGGCATCACCATTGTATTTCTGTATTTTTTTTAGCAGAATGTTGTCCAAGTTACATATCATCCTGGAAGACGCAAGCGGGGCTGATTTCAGAAGCCATTAGGCGCTGTGCCGTGGCTCTATGCCAAGCCAAGCAGGGGTTGATGGTTTTGGGTTTATAAAAGCAAAGGTTTCCTACGATATCTCTGTTCAGGTTCGTGTTCCTCCGCTTTTCTCTGTTACCTCCCTGCATCTTATCAACTAGATACACAACTCCTGTGTTAGCGCATACATTCCTTTCTTTCATTTCATCGTAAACACCCTTTTTATTTCCTTCAAGGCAAGTCCTCCTTTCTTCCCTATTTCCCCTCAGGTAGTGAACAAAATGATTGATAGACCAAGATAGGCAATCAAACATGCCACCTGTCGACCGCTCCGCATTGCGTAATACTTATATCTATGGTTCCAAGAATCGTACCGCCGTACTAGGAGGTCTCTGGGTGACCAACAGTGTCACCAACGCCGATCTCTATTCAATCCTGGAGATTTTCTGTTCTATTAGCAGTTCTTACTCTCTAAATGACGATAGCGAACATGTGGTTGGGAGGAATGGGCAACAGCTTCAACCAGGCAATTACTATATTGGCCTTGAGAGCCTTGTTTCGAAACCGACCGCCCGCCTAGCTCAGACAGAATGGGAGAGATAGAGAGTGGTTCAAAGGACTGGAAAGGGAATGGAGTTAGAGCTGTTTGACCGTTTTAATACATGGGGGCATGGAAGAGGCAAGGGTAGGCTGCCAAGTGATGTGTACCTAGGTCACTACATGTTCTCACATAGCCACGTCGTTGAGAACCTATGTCCGTTCATAAATCTCTTCAAAATCCGGCACGCTCTAGGCTTTTACGTGAAAGAATACCAGTAGTTGAAACCCTTCTAAATAGGAAATGGCTATTGTCTCATTTAAATGAGATGGAATGTGGAATGGATGATGTTTCGACCTTCGGAAACCAAGCGATAGACTCATTGAACAGGTTGCTCAGGGGATCTTCAACCGTAAAACACAAAGTCCAATACTCTAGAATGTACTTCCTTTAAGACTGCCTGCTCGTTTTGGAGTTCTTTTCTGTCATCTGTTGGGTGAAAATTTGAACTCTTGAGTTAGCGCCGAATTCTGTATCGCTCCCCGCATGAAACTGTACGAGTACGCTTACTTAACTCCATATAGCTACTGTAATATATGACTGCCGGAACTCTCACCTTACGGGCAGTCGGGGCTATTGGGACTCTGATTTATTCAACCGTTTAGCTAGGGGTATGCCTCAGAGGGTACAGGGTGTGATGAAGTCTGGTGGGCTGCATACCCGGTATCAACTTCTACCGAGTTTATTGTTTTTTTACCGATATCGTTGTTGTCGTTTCATCATGAAACAATTAAATTTATTTATAGTATTGAGTTGTGGTACTCTACAGTACATGTGTTGCAATGTTGGCAACTGTGCTCATGGTCGTGCAATTATTGTTGTCTGAAATATGTTGCACTGGTTGGAATGTGAAATGATCGGCATTGCAGGAATAGTGGAATGTATAGGGCTGAATGTATGGCGAATGAAGAGTGCGATTAGGTGGAGATATGAAGACAACACATACGGGAATGTGTACGGGAACGGGTGAAATTGCGATGGGTATGCAGAAACTTGTATGTATATAGTCTGTTATCATGTCTGGGTGGTACCGCATTATTTGGCAAGAACCGGCAGGCGCTAGTACGTTGAATTAAGGACGCGGCTTGCGTGGACTCACGATTGAGTGAAGGAGAGAGCTTAGAACGGTTTAGTCCTGGACATACAGGGTTAGGATATGGCGTTTTATTGCGATTTTGAGACAAAACAAGGAAAGAAATCTCATTTGAATGTACTAGAGCCTGCCAGTTCTCACCAGATTATGCGGTAGACAAGGCAGGCGACAAGGCAAGCGCAACAGGACGAATGAATACTATTCAATTTAGGGTTGACTTTACCCCAGTCGGAATGCTTAGCCAGATCAGCGTTTTTGTGCTTATGTAATCACAGATTACCCGGTCGCCAAGTAAGTGTTTGTCTATGAATGCTTTTCTTTGTCACCACCTTGCAGCCTAAAGTTATCCCATGACTCTCGTGCTATCGCAAACATTCCTTCCTTCTACCTTAGCACAAGCTTTCCTCCCTTTTCATCAAAGCATGTCTGTGACAGATGAAGATAGTCAATCAAACACGCCACCCACTGATCGCTCAGCATGGCGTGATACTTATATCTACGCTTCCGACAGTCGTGATACTATGCTCGGAGGCCTCTGGGCCTCTGAAGGTATTACCAACGCCAATCTCTATTCCATGTTGGAGATTTTTTGTTTCTTTACCGATACCTTCCATCTACGTGACGACCGCAAACAGTTGGTTGGGAAGGATGGACAACAGCTTCAACCAGGCAATTATTTTGTTGTCACTAAGGGTGGTTTTCTTCATTGCTTCCACCATTGGCCGCTACTCACTGCGAATAGGTTCCGTCAGTGTCACCGATGAAGTCCCGCTAACTCGTACAGCTTCATTGCCCTCCGGGACTCGTACTGCATCGTTCCGCGATGCTGTGCTCCAGCGAGATCAGCGATGCGTTATAACAGGCATGCCTGCGGTGCTAGCTCATATTGGCAGGTCGAGGGGCTTCGAAGCCACTCACATATTTCCTTTGGCATACGAGAGGGAGTGGAACGATTGTAACTACCATCGTTTGATCACCATTCCACCCACCAATGAGTCCCACGGATCCATCAACTCTGTCCAGAATGGGATCTTGCTCACGAGCAACATGTACCAGTTCTTTGCTTCCTATGATTTGGCAATTAACCCTGATGTAAGTAGAGCTAGTTATTCAAGGCTTCGTGGCTAATAATTGAATAGGATAACCACAAGATCGTGTGCTTCACACCTGATCTCACTAACTATCACATCGCGGGTCGTCATCTTGACCAAACGTTCATCAATAACCCACTCCGGCCGCCTGATGACCTCCTACGCTGGCACTTTCGCCAGGCAGTCCTTGTTAATATGAAGGGTGCTGGAGAGCCTTCTTTTGAGACTGATTTCCCGGCTGGCTCAGACATGATGGGCGAGATTATGAGAGGCCCCAAAGCTGGCGAGAGAATGGAGTTTGAGCTATTTAGCCGTTTCAATGCAATAGAGATTACTCCTGGGGCAGGGGTAGGCGGCCGGGTGATGTGTAACTAGGGAACTGCAATATTTTGTGTTGCTACGGGATTTAGCACTGATCATGAATTCTCTGCAATCGGGCACACTCTGAGGTTTTATGTTAAACTACATCAGCAATTGAAACCCTTTTCACAGATCATGGCTGTTGTCTCACTTAAACGGGATGGAATGTAGAATGGGTGTTATTTAAAGCCTTTGGAACTGAATCAGGGACTCAATGAACACGTGACCCATACAGTTTTATACAGTAAAACGCAAACAAGATCCCTAATGCAATACTCTACCTATTGGTGAAGGAGCCGGCTGTTTCCCTCCTATCCCAGCCCCTACTACTGACAGGCCAGGGCGAGCAGGTTATTCACCTCCGCCTGCCCATACCGAGTTTGATCCCAAATGGGGAGATGGGGTTGAGAAAATGGGCGGTCCAGTGAAGTGGCCAGACCTGGAGCTTCATGCATTTAACAAAAAAGTTAATTAATCAATTGACTGGTAGCAGGTTGGGGTTCCTGCTGACTAGTACAAACTAAGTATCACCCGATCTCAAGCTACTGGTTTACAATCTTACCAAGATGTGAATTTTCAGACTCAGAAAAAAGCTGGTAGTCATGGATTGGTAAAATTAAATCTCATAGCTCTTCTACCCAAGCCATGCAATGGGTCGGGCCTTGGGTGGGTTAACCCGGGTCATTCGTTGGGTTGGGTCGGGTTCCTTGGGTCGGGTTCGGGATTGAGCTTCGTTGGGTTGGGTCGGGTCGAAGGGGGACTAACCCGGGTTACCCAACGAACCCAACCAATATTGTTCACTTTGTTTTGTCGCGATTACCATGGAAACTGTAGTCTAACCACGGAATACTAAGACAGTATTTACTGTTAGTAGAAAGGTGAAAGCGGAGGTTTCTCTAAATTTGAATAGTCTTCCGAAAAACTAGACCTAAGAGTGACCAGGGGTCTCAGAAGATCACTCGCTCTGAAGGATTAAAGACACTCAATACGAGCTTGAACTTTCTTCGTTAAGTTAATATTATTTTATGCCAGCCCTCCTACGCGACTACCTATCTGGTATTGCTCCTATTTTCTGTTTACTGCCTGTCTTCAAGTTCTCTACCTTCGGCATCCTACTGAGATACAATAATCATGAGTTTTGTTTCTGATATCGGAAGTGTTCTGTCTAGTCCCCCGCCTTTTCTGAGGACACCGAGTCCCATATCAGATATTGAGACCCCTTAATTGCAGCGCGAAGAGAGCACCACAACTGAATGGTCCGGAAACAATTCAAGCCACTCAGTGTCTCCGCAGTTGGCATTCTGGTTCCTAGTTACACTCTTATTACTTATGCCATTCTTTCCTCCCTCATTCTGTATGATCTATTACTTCTATTCGCCTCCCCCACCCTAGTTGGTTCTGTACTATTGCAAGCATATAACTCTCGTAATACCTAATATAATCATCTTTTTCTTAACTAGAGTAGCTTCCCATTTCTTCAAAACCCAACGGGTTCGTTGGGCAAACCCGGGTTATTCTTCGTTGGGTTGGGTTGGGTGGGTTGAACATTTGTTGGGTTTGGGTTGGGTTGGGTCGGCTCATTTTCGACCCGGGTCAACCCATTACATGTCTTGCTTCTACCTTTTGCCAGAATGATCAGCTTCCTAAAAGATCAATAATAGTAATATTAATACTACTGCGTACATCCAGAAGCTAGAGCTTAAAGGCGTCCCTATTTTGATAAAGTCAGCTGATTGCACAGGCCTGCGTGCCCCACCTGGTTATAACAGAGAGAATCAA